CCCAATAGGAAAATTATCAGTGTTACTAAACATATCAAGAAGATGATATTTTTAAAAATCTTATGTTTTTCTCAAATTTAACTTTGTTATTATTTTGTATGATATATCATTATATTTTATGATATCTATATTATTCATGCGAGAAACTAGGACATTTCTAATGGTGAATAAGGTCACCTTGGCAACCCACATGAAGTAGGATAAGACACGGATTGACCAATAGTTTGAGATGTCTTATGTAAGTTAACTTTTTGTACCTTATTGATGAATATTTATAATTAGTTTGTCAAACAATATCCAAGAGCCTTAGTCCCAGATTGGGTCGGTTAGAAAAGGTTCTTGTAATATCACACAGTTGTATGATGTGACCTATGTGATGTTATATGGATCCAAGTGGATCCTATGGTGGAAAGACTATCATCAATGGGTTAAGCGATAATCTATCACAATAAGCGAGTTTGACATCATGTAATTATAAAAAAATCTTAAGGCTTAAAGTTAATTGATCCTTCTACTTATATGGTTTTGATTACTTAGTCAATTCCTAATCAATGAGAGACTTCACCACTCACCATTGAATTTCAAATATTCTTCCCCTTTAATGTGATACAAAGAGTCAATAACAAAAAATAGAAGAGTTATGATTAAAAGAAAAAAGCATCAACCATGTGTTAAGATTGAAAATATATACTGGAGCCACTTAAGAAGAATAACTTCATACAAAGGAGCAAGAACATGGATGAACCTTGAAGAAACCTAGCAATGAATCAAGAGTAATAAGGAAGAATTAAAAAGAAAAACCAATATCAAAGTCAACAAACCATGGACAATCTTCAAGAGAAGCTTAATGTCATAAGCCATGCTAAAAGAGCGGTCACGTCCAACAAAGTATCAAAGCATTTTCAAATTCAACAAGTCCAACACCGAGTTTAAAAGAAGATTCAAGATCCAAATACAATGCATAAATTAATTGTAAGGGAATATGTTGAATTGCTTTTAATGAGCTGAAAGTATTTTTTTAAATGACATATTTTCAAAATGTATGAAAGATTTTTAAAATAGATGGAAAGTGGTTCAACATGTTTTAAACTTATTATCTTTTCATGAGTAAGTTATATGTGCCTACAATGTTAGAAAGATTTTCAAATGGAAAGGAATGCATTTTTAAAGTAAAATATGTTTTTTGTCGTAATATATCCAGATATGTGAAATGAAATATCAAGATACGACCTTTTTATATAACCAAATATGTAGGGGTGATATATCTGTATATGACTCGATATATATTCGGATTTTCACTTTTTAGAAAGTGTTGCAATAGCTACGATTATATTTTGTTGAAAACTTAAAATACTCACCCCAATCATTCTAAACCTTCTCGGACACTATTCAATCATTATTTGAGCCTTTTTCGATAAATTTTATTGCTCCGACACTTGTATAACTCATTCTTGATCATTTAAAGTCTTTGACCCCATTTCTTTGTGAAAAAGCATGCACCCGTATTCAATTTGTATTATCCACACTTTAAGATTGTTTATTCAATTCCAAACTCATTCATCATTGTATTCTTGATTTAAAGGGTAATAAGACCATTAAGTGATTGAGAGGTAGCCTATTGCATAGAAAAATTTGGTAAATATTGTAAGGTTGCCAAGCATCGAAAAAGCATATTGGTTGAGATGTTGTTAAGTACCCGCGAAGCTTAGTGGTTTGTAAGGTTTCCAAGTACCTGAAAGCTTGGAGGTTATAGCAGTTCGTCAAGCACCCATGATGCTTGACTAATAATGGAACACATTTTTTATCGACTTGCAAACTAGACATATGTCACTGGTGGTGGTGATCAGACCGGGATAAATTATGTTTGTGATCTTCTAAATCCTTAATTCTTTTATTCGATCACTTTAATTGATTCTTCGATTTCTTATATGTGCTAGTTGTTCTATCTTGAAGACAAATATGTCTAGCCCAAAGGACTAATAATTTTATCTTGGATCTAGGTGCTCTCTCAGATATCTATGAATTAGATATCTTTGAGTATAGCAGATCATTGTGCATAAATAGTGATTACTTTTGCCTAAAGGATGGTATGAATGCAAAGCGATAACATAACAGTAAAGAGAGAATTAATCATACCTGTAGGTTTTATCTCTTATTTATAGGATTTCCCTGTGGGTATTGGAATTATGGACCTTTTGTGCCTCTTCTAGCAGCTCAAGCCAATGTTTGATGCTGTCGTATTATGATTAATATCTTAAATTGATATTCTCCTTTGATTTATTGGATTCTTATTTTTATTGCCCCCTTATTGGGCTTAATACTATATGGGCCTCATATATGAGTCCATAACACTAGTATAGATAGTACAATTGTTATGGTGTATGTATCATGAGTTGGTTGAATGTATTGATAAGTCATTCATATATCAAAGTTTGCATGAGAATATATTTCAGAAACAAGAAAGGAGACATTTCTAACTTTGAAATACTCAATTCACCCATTTCTTGAGTATGAAGGCCATAATTCTAACAACTTAATAGAGTATTTGTGGAGTTAGACAAAGAATCAAAACTTGACTTTGTAACATGGATTTGAGGTGATTGACAAACCCGAACTACACTAACTATCATCTCCAAATGCTTGTCCAGCCAAATTTACCCTAGTTAGCCCAACCTAACATTGACTTTGATACCACTGTTATATAGCAAGGGAGAGCCTCATGATGGACAGACCATCATCAATGGGTTAAGCAACAATCCTCCATAACAAGTGGGTTTGGCACGTATGAACCTTAAACCTTAACATATTGAGTTCATAGATCCTTTCACTTAGATGGTCTGATTACCTAGTTTATTCCTAACCAATGTGAGATTTCACCACTAACAAGTGTGAGTTCCAAGTCCAACATCTGCTCCCCCTCAAGCAAAAACTTGTTTGAGCATGTATAGGTTACACTAAGAATCAACACTTGGCTTATCAGCAGGGTTTGGGGAGATTAACAAAACTGAACTTCACCAACTATCATCTCCACACACTCACCCTAGCCAAACTCATGATTGGTCCAACCAAACTCGGATTTGATACCATTGTTAAGCAGGCAAGGTGAGTCTATGGTGGGGAGATTACCATGAATAAGCTAAACTATAATCAACCACAGTAAGTGGGTTCGACAACACGTCTCAACAAATTTTTTAAAGGATTAGAGTTCATAGGTCTATCATTTATACGGCCCTCACTTATTCCATATTTAACCAACATGGGATTTCACCTGTTACACTTTAATTCCTGAATATGCATGCATCCTTTGTGCAATTGTCGATTGACTCTATTAGTGCAAAAGCAGGGCCTATACGATGACATACAACTCCCTAACCCAATGTCTCTTACATCCAGTCACAATAGTTTCTCCTTCGGTCAAATGCAGCAATACATTGGGCAAATGCAGCAAGGAGGGGAGAGAGCTACCGTAAATGAAGGGAACCCTCGCAGTTTTGATGCCATTCAACAAAAGTTATAGCTATTAACATAGTATTAGCAACAATAATCTATGTGGACTCCGCATGCTACGCATCCTAATTATGAGGAGGTCGAGTTGATGACTCAGATAAGAACATTATACATGCAACTAATTCATGTTTTTTTTTTACTATATCGATTATATTTATTTGCCATTGGTTGGATTTCATATACATTGTAGTATAATGTAACAATGATATAATTCTTTAACGATTATTTCGACTGTATACACAAGGACTTAAAAGTTTTGGAAACTATAATTTCTAATTTTTGAAAGAAAAAAAATACCAAAATACTGCTTTATACTTAAAAGTGCTTTTTAAAAATTGATCAAAACACAAAATAACTCTGGCTTTTGAATTTTTTTTAATAAATGTATTAAAATTTATTTTGTAAAACTCATCCAAGCGGGTCTTTATTCACCTTATCAACATGTTTTGGCCATTAGTTATAACAAAATATCTTGAGTGATCAGTCTATACCTATTATCACAAAATTTAGAATATACCCGTACTTGTAAAGAGAGATTACCCTTAAGTAAGACTTTATTTACCTTGAGAGGCATTTGGTATGAGAGAAATTTTTTATTACAGTGAAAAAAAATATCTCAGAATATGGTGTGAATCTTTTTTGCCTGGATAAGTTACAAAAAGATGTTTGGTAGGCATCAATTTTTTCAAAAAAGTTGGGTTCTTTTTACTAATATTATGTTTGGTTGATAATGAAATATTGATGGAAATGTATAGTGAAATTACCAATTATATTCAAATATTGAATCACAGTCATCGAGTGGTACTGCAAATTATACTTTTTTTTGGGCATTTGGTCTTAAAATTGTAAAAGCAGGTCTGTCCGTTAGCTAGATTAAAATAATACCAAGGTTCAAATTGCATTTTTTTTTTCCAGAGTCTAGTTCAAAACTATTTTCACAGGCAAAATAATATATTGGTATTTGCTAAATTTAACATATACCAAATATGATAAACATATTTTATCTATACCACTTTTCCAAGAATTCTATCATATTCTTCGTACCAAACACCCCTAAATTTTAAAATCATGGTTACGATTCCCTCGTAATTAAATAAAAGAATAACATATCCTAATTTGTATACTAAATATCCAAAATACTGCTTTATACATAAATTAAATTAATGCAAAGAAGCCAAAAAGAAAGCTAATATATAATTTCCAGTTTCCGAGTGGACGACCTACAAAATTATTTAAATATTAGAGCGTTAACGGTTTGGTGTATTTCCCACGTATATATATGTATAATCCGTGCGAACCTGAACAGTGAACACCCGTAGAAAAAGAAAAGTGAGCTCTATAAGAGACAAAGACAGGGTAGCCTTTTTGTCAACTATAACCGAGACACTTCCCACTATTTACAACCACACACGTGGCACCACAATCAACAAAACTTGAGTAATTAGTCTTTAATTAATGAAAAATTCTACTATAGAAGTCTTATATTTATAGACATGTACCTGCTTGCCCAACATGTTCAAACGAAAGGTATAGAAGTGGAAAGCACACAGAAATATCCAAACCCATACACAAAACAGCCGCTAAGAGCCATGCAGCGGTTTTCAGCCAACCAATGCTCTAAAATTGTCAATTCAGCATTCAATGTTTTCATAAACTATCGCAGGACTGATAGCAAAAGAACAATTGCTCCTTTGCTTCATGACTATCTTGTGAACCTTGGTGTCAAACCCTTCTTGGACACCGTTGGCATGAAACCTGGTCATGGGTTATTCGATCATATTGAGGAGGCCATACGTGGGTGTAAGGTTGGGGTTGCTGTCCTCTCACCTGGTTATTGTGATTCATACTTTTGTCTCCATGAACTTGCTCTTCTTAGTGAGTCCAAGAAAAGGGTTGTCCCTATCTTTTATGACATCAAGCCCTCACAGCTTCTGGTTAAGGACAGTGCACGTTATCCTCATAGCGTGCTTCGAAGGTTTAGATTAGCACTTGAGGAAACTAAGTACACTGTTGGATTAACCTTCGACTCATCAAAAGGGTGCATTTCTTGATTCTTTGTTTCTTTATTTTTACTTTTTTTTTCATTGCACTGATATGTATATTTGGGTTAGTATATTTGAATATATAATGTAATTATTGCTGAATGTTGACTTTGATCGTTTTAGGGACTGGTCGGAACTGCTAAGGAAGGCTTCAGATGCAGTCCTTATGAACTTGAAGGAGGTAGAAGACGAGGAGAATCGCATTAGACTACGATGATGCGGCCATGTTGCAAGCCACTGTTCGTGTTAACCGGAAGTTCGTACCTATAACTAGCTGTGTAGTGGCTTCCTATTAGGTTTCAATGCATGAAAGAAAAGGCTGTTTATTTCATTTAGAATTTGGCGTTGAAGTCTTTAGTTATTATTGGTATCCAACTTAATTTGCTATGAATAAATATGAGGGATGTAATCTAAAGAACTCTTGCCCAAAAAATATATATATATATATATATATATATATATCTAAAGAATTAAATGTAATATTTGAAATTAAAGGTTATGGGTATGCTGTTTGTGCGGAAACTAGACTCTTTGAAGTCTTGCACTTAGCCAACAACGGTTCTTCCACTTTTGATGTTGATGGGCACATTATTGAGAAGGAATTCAAAAACATAACGCGACTGGTACGTGATTCTTGTTCATGTCAGGCGTGATATTTTTCGTTTCGTTATTTCTCTTTGCATACTGGAACATTCATATTCTACCCATGAGTTACAAATGAGTCTTCTTCGTGACGCTCCAAGGACTCCGAAAAACCGATTTCGAACTAGACTCACTGACTAAGAGAGAATCACACGAAACCGAAACTGTTCGCATTAAAATCTTATAATACTTAACAATAACATAATAATCATTGTATATAATTTTGAAGAACTAAAAAATATATATATCCGCTGATGATCATTGCATATGATTATTTGGCCTAAATGATCATATCCATGTAGTTTGTTCGGCTGAATCTTTCGTATACTAAGGTAGATGCCTGGATTTGGATTCGTACGTAAAATAAAATAATAAACAGACGTTATTTTACTTTTTCCTTTTTTTTTTGGTGATTACATTATTTGAACATAAAATAAAGGATAAATATTTTTTTGGGTTCTTGACAAATTTCACGATACCCGATTTAGTCCCTAACAAATAAAAAAGCTATTCGTGATCTTAAGAAATTTAAAATAAACCAATTTAGTTGAATTCATGACCTTCATAAATTCAAAAAAGACTCACAGTCCTTCAAAAGCACTAAAATGAATCCATTATGAATTTCTTAAGGACCACAAATAGATTTTTTATTTATTAAGGACTAGAGCTCACATCATAAAATTTGCTGAATACTAAAAAAAATATGGGATAGGTTATTGTGCCTACTCCTATTTTACCTACTTTTGTCTACCCCTTTCGTTACCGTTCGATTATCATCTCATCCAACGATCCATATTTGTGATATAAAATAAATATTTTTTTCCCTTTTTTTTCTTCTCACTTTCTTCCATACCTTTTCTCTCTTCCTCTGCCATATACCTAATTTTTTTTCCCTTCTGCCGTCGTGGACCTCAATCTCCTGACAAATTGTTCGATTCTAATGATATTTTTAATCCTTATAAATTAATACGATTGAATCGATGACTAACAAAGAAGTTTTGATGTGATTCAAAGCGGTGGTGCCACAAGGTCGATCTGTTCACAGAATTCTCCTTGTCTCTGCTTCAATATGTCGATCTGTTCTTCCACATGATAGATACTCTTAATTTCTAATAATTAATTGGCTATCTGTATCAACATAATTGCTGGAATGGCACCAATTAACCCTTTTTCCAGATTTTTCCAATATCAATTTTTTTTATTCTTTAATTTTTTTATTTATTTTGAATCTTTTCCAACTCTGCACAGATCTTTTGAATCACATTAAAACTTCTTTGTTAGTCATCGATTCAATCTTATTAATTTATAAAATTTATGTTGTTCTTCAGATCTAAAAATTTGTTGTGATTTTCAATCCATTGACACTGGTAATTTGATAGAAACTGATTCAGAAGGAGAAAATTTATATTACAATAATAAAAACAGAGACTAATGTATATTGACGATGATTTCAAATGCTGTGGTAATTGATTTCAAATGCTTCCGCTCCGTTCACCTAGGCAGAGATTAAATATAAAGGAAAAAAAATAAGTATATGGCAGAGGAAGAGAGAAAGGAGAGGAGAGAGAAATGGTATGGGAGAAAGTGAGAAGAAAGAAAGGGGAAAAAAAAGTTTATTTTATATTACAAATATGGATTGTTGGATGAGATGGTAATCGAACGGTAACGAAAGGGGTAGACAAAAGTAGGTAAAATAGGAGTAGACACAATAACCTATCCCAAAAAATATTTAGACGTTCTCTTCCCACGTCATTTGAAGTAATAGTATGCAACGAAGGTTCATCAGTCTGAAAATGTATCAACCCTCCTGGCATATAATATCTTCAGTACTACTGCCAAATCAAATCATGACACGTGTATTAGTTTCCCACGTCAACCTAATTTATGTGATAGTCTTCTTCTTCTCTTCCGTCTATTTCTGTTCTTCCTCTCAGCAAACTCCATGCTCTGCCAAAGCTACCGCGTGGTTGCATATCCACGATTTCTCTTCCTCCCTCGTCCAAGAACAGAGCCCCTCTTCGTTTTCCGTTTTCCGTGTTCACCATAGAATATTTGAAGGAGGAGACACATGATATTGGTTGTTAGTGGACCTCGTTACAAGAATATTCCTTCTGCAACAAGAAGAGCATCTAACGCACAGCCTACAAGATCTAAAAATTATGGATATTCTATATCATTATAAAATACCTAAATTATAATAGAATCTAAAGCATAAAAGTGTGTAGCTTGTTGGACTATCATAATGTCGGAAAAAAAAATGGACTACATGTCAAGATCTTTCTATGACTTATTCTGAAAGTGACGGCCTCAGTGCGGTAAGAGTATTATTATATTATTTATTGTGTTATCAAACACAATTTTTATTTTCGGAGTAAAAATAAGATATGTTATCAAACACATTTTTTTCTAAAGACTGTTCCAAGGCACATAAATAGAAAAGAATTATTTCTTTTCAAAAATAGTGTCAGGAAATAGAATGATTATCATGCACATCCTAAAAAAATTAAAATTTTATCACCATTTAAAATGTTTATTATTAATTACATATACACTACATGAAATTACGAACTTAAATAAGGTTATTTTACATAACTTTAAAAAAGGGTCGTCGAACATATTGATTTTGAATATTTTAACCACTATTTTACACCGGCTTTGATTTCATTGCCAATATTATATTATTTGAATTTAATAATTAATAAAATAAAAAATTTTAAAAATAATTTAACCTAACAAACTTCATCTTATTTAACCTACATCTTTTATCTTAGCCGTCACACTTATCTTCTTTCAAACTTCATCTCTTCTGTAAATATTATTTTTTTAGAAAAATCTTCTTCGTTTTAGATTTGTGTTAGGAGACTTAAAACGTTAAGTGAATCTGACTTTTTTTTTTTGTTTCTGAATAATGTGAACTTATACTTTTCAATTATCTGCGTTCAAAGCTACACGATCATGGATCTCTTAGGGAAAACACTAAAAAGGTAAAATCATGAATAGATTTTTCTCAGATTAGTTGATTTGTGAAAACCATTTCTCTTTTTTCTATTAGCTTTTTAGATCTCTATCTCATATGACTTTTGTTAGTTTCTCTTTTTTCTTTTAGTTTTTTAGATTTGTATCTGTGATGGTTTTTGTTACTTTATATATCCTTTTGCATGTGGAGTTTGAGTTCAGCTTATGTTGTTAATGTCACTGCTTACTAATATTTGGGAAGTAGTTCCGTGGAAAAGTTGTTGCTGTTTTTGGTGTTACTCTTGTTATGCGTATCATCCTTTTCTGAGTTTTTTTAAGTAATGGTATTGTGGATATAAAATGGGTTTGCATTTTTTGGATGGGTTTTAACTTTTTATTAACTCAGGGTTGATCTAGTTTTTATTTTATTTTTGTTATTCGATCTAGTTTTTTTTTTAGCAGCTTGTCTGGGATACTTGTTTTTTATTTTTTTTATTACTAGTATTCTTTGGATTATAATATACTTTAACTATGTTGGATTTTTTTTTTGTTAAATATGGCACTTTGGGTTTTTATGGCTCAGATTGTTTAGTTTTGACAAGATGCCATTGTTATAGCATATTAGTGTATTGTCATGGATGGCATTTGGGTGATTTAGGTTCTGATATGGTATTACATAAAAAATAGCCTCTTGTCCAATGTATAACATTTGCATGTCTCTCCCTCTCTCAAGTTTCAGAAGCTATATCTCTTATATAGCCTCTTGTCTAGTAGATGCATCTTGTTAGTATAGGTAGTAATAATTAATTCTTATAAGCTATCCCAAACTGTACAGTCTCATACCGGCACAGTCTTTGGAACCCCTCTCTTTCGAGTGTCGATTCGATTCATTCATGTAACCCCCGCTGGAAGCCTGTTAGAAGTCGCTCCTTGTCCATGCCCTTTCGCACCGGCGATCACTCCCCGCCCTCGTCAGCACCCGGGATGTTACATACCCACCAGCTTCCGCCTGGTTCGTCCTAGAACCAGACCGTACTGGAAGAGAGGCCTGTTTTGATACCACTTGTAACGTCCGGTCGCTTCAAGAATCAATGACTATCCCCACATACTAACACGAAACTTTTCAGTGTGCTTTTTTCTCACTCGCACACTTCCTGGGAAAACTTCCCAAAAGGTCACTCATCATAGAATTGCTCCAAGTCAAGCACGCTTAACTATGGAGTTCTTCCGTTCCGGGCTATCCCAAAGTGTGCAGTCTCAGACCCACATACTAACACGAGACTTTTCAGTGTGCTTTTTTCTCACTCGTACACGTCCTGGGAAAACTTCCCAGGTGGTACCTATCCCAGAATTACTTCAAGTCAAGCACGCTTAACTATGGAGTTCTTCCGTTCCGGGCTACCGAAAAGTAGATGCATCTTGTTAGTCTGGGTAGTACCAATTAATTCTTATACGCTATCCCAAACTGTGCAATCTCATACCTGCACAGTCACTACAAATATTCAGATATTTTGTGGGGGTCATATTTGCAAATTGTGAAGGTCTTTTACCCCCCCCACACACACAAAATATATTTGTGGCATCTATCATGACCCCTGATCTTGGGTGCGCCACAACACATTTTTTGGCATCTTTGTATGAAACGCCACAATTTGTTAAAATATTTTCTGAAGTTTTCAAATCTCCACAAATGTTACATTTTTTTGGAGGTCTCAAACCTCCACAAATGATATATTTCTAGAGGCCATATTTGGAGCCCATTTCGTTTTCCGCCAATTCACTTTAAATGTGGAGTCGAGCCAAAAGAGGCAACAAGCACTCACCCATCTTTATTATTATTAGCTTTTCTGTTATTAGGCATTATTTGACCTTAAATATTTGTGTTTGACTAGTCAGTTGTAACACTTCCCAATATTAACTCGTTTGTTCAGAATGAATTACACAGCTAGTGCTGAATTTAGTACTGTACCGGAGCAAGTTTTGACCTAAAAAAATTATATTACAGTTTTAGCATTGTGATTGGAATTGCAAAACTATGTGGATGCCATTGCCAAGATTACATGAAACTACTGGGAATTGCAATTGACACTTAACAGAAAATTATTGATAAAGGAAAAGAAATTACTGGGCATTCAGAATATTGCTCATGAAACACAACAAAATATTTAATGAAATGGTTTCCATCAATTAATCTCAAACATCAACTTATAACACAGCTAGGGAATAAAATAGGTATTGATTTTTTTACCACCGACGATCTCAGTAATTTTAGATAAAACGAAAATACTTGGTCAATTCTCTTCCTTGATGGTTTTCACATATTGGTTGAGACCGTTTGTCTCAGATGTTGAGGTCAATGAAGCTTTTAGTATGCTGAGACCCTGTACCATCGAATCAAAAAGTACTATGTAATCTGATGCAAATAACAAAATACCATGAATAACTAGGCTTAAACAAGTCACACTCGGCCTTACCTCCTTCATACCAACACTAAAGACCCCTTGCTCCAAGTCATAAATAGAGACTTTTAATCTATTTAGCATTGCCTTAATCTGTGCTGTAGCCAGATATATGAAAGGATCTGATGAATTTGGAACATCGTAATATGGAAAAAAGAGACAGAAAAACTGCATAAATTAGTGTTGCAATCAAAAATAAATTAGTTATCAACATCTATAGTTACATACTTTTCACTCATAGAGGAGCAGATATTAAATCTGTCTTATATCAAACACAAGAAACAGATTAAGGGGGAGGGGATAAGAAACTCATAGATGTGCAATTTTCAGATTGCAAGCATTTGCCTTAAGCCCTGGTTGGTGCCATTAGGTATCTTCGTACAGTTACAGTGCTGTCCAACAAAATGCTAATATGAGGATATGGTGTATTCTAAGCTAGCTATAAGCATGCATAAACGGTCAAGACCATACTTTGAAGAAAGTACATAAAGATCACTAAATATACTTGGTACCATTGTAAAGGGTCACATCGATTTGCTAAAGCAGCAACAACATATCTTTTCATGCTAAGATATACTTTCCATCATTGATAGACACCTACTAAATTACCAAATCCAAAAGAAGTGCATTTCCTTCTCATTTTCCCAAGAATGGAATTTAGTTCCTCCTCCTGGATTTTGAGTAGTAACTCTATAATTAAATGAACATGTTAGAAAAGCGAAATGAAAGAAGAGGCCAGGTGTATTCAATTTTTTATATCAGAACTGAGAAGGACTACATTTGTGTGTATATATCAGAAGAATACTAAAAGGAAAGATATAGATCCTATATTGCTGTAACAGAATAAGCATTCTTATATTGCTGAATAAAAAAAGAAAATATAATATAATCAAATAAAAGGTAATGACAAATATAATCGAATAAATAATCAAAGAAAATACGTCAGTGTGTATCCATCCACTTGCTAAAGCCTACATACGTAAAGGCACTTCTAGTAGGCATCAAAGCTTTTATTCCCCTTATTTGAAGATGGTATTATAAAAAATTTATGGACCATTGCACAAGCAGCACCACAAGACATAAGATGTAGATCCAAGCAAGAATCAGACCAGTCACCATTCCACACATTTCTGCGTCTCCCTTCAAGGACAACCAGCTGAGCCCCTCGTTTCTAATGTCAAATTCAATTTATTATAAAAACAGAAAATGTGAAAGTCAGATTAACACAAAAGAAAAGGTTCAACTCCTATAAACCTCTAATTCTAATCATCCACATACTCACTGATGAGGCATTTATACTACCTGTGTAGTAAGCATATCACAAAACTAAAAGATGAAAATTCAACTTTACCTGACCAAAGTGCCACAGCATATCTGTAAGGGCATTATAAAAGGCAGATGCTGTTGAAGAATCCATACGCTTGATTTCATCAAATAGAGATTGAGCCTGAAACCATATGTTTTCCCTGAAACCCATAAGGAGTCCATGGGCTACACCATACACCTGGTTATCAAATATGCGGAGCTCATCTAATATCTTGGAAGCATCTTCAAATGAATTGCAATGGCTGCATTCAACGGGCAAAATTATACTATTTTCATTTGATTATATAATATCATGCGAATATCAAAGTACATATTATAAAAAAGAAAGGAAAAACAAAAACACTAATCAGAGGTGTGGCAAACAGCAAAAAAAACATTGAATACATCACCCATGACTTGCTAATGGATTGAAATTGAAGGATAAGAATTACCTGCAATATAGGATATAATCCATGGGATTAAAAATGTAGCACTCGAGATATTTAGGGATAAAAAGGATGGGCAAAGTAATATTAAACACAACTAAAGATGGCTGGTCTTGTAATTAACAACTAAAGATGTTGATTTTCATTTTCTTTCCATTGTTTTTCCTCCTTATTTCATATTGAAAAGCTTCCTCTCATTGTCAACGAATTTGAAGCAAAAAATGGAAAGAGGATGGGGTGGGGGAATCTCATACTAACTTCACATATAAATAAACCAGAGTAATAAAAGACCCTCAAACATAAATAATCAAAGCTATATAAAAAATACCTGTGTTCATTCAATTCAAGCAGGAGATGAGTTTCCCGAATTCCAAATTCCGTAGCTTTTACGAGTGAGTCAAATAAAGCACTGTACAAAAAGATGACTGCGAAGTTTTTAAAATGAAAACGAACTTTTCCAATAAGTATCAATCAAACTATTACGATAGCATTATTTTACAAATAATTGAAACCAAACAACAGTAAGTTCACAGCAAATGCAATAGAACATATAGTATGTAAAACTCATCTAACAAAAAAGAATTTATATGATGGAGAAGCAAGCAATCAAAGAGCCAAATAGCAGAAAATTTTATGCAAGCAATTATAATCAAGAGATTAAAAGACTGTTTGAATAGGAGTTTCAAGTGAAATGGTTGGCCTCAACCGTCAGGTACTTGCAAAAAGAGAATGTGAAAATTGAGGACAGAAACAAAGCATTAAAATCACAATCATCGAATTCTAGGGTAGCTTTTTATGGATTTCGATTGGAATAGACAGAGATCTGGGAATATGAAGGTTACCATGTCGCTTACAAGGGGGACGTACCAAGTAGGTTACCTCGATTTTCTCTCACAACTCCATTACAGCGAGATGACCTCGCCATTGAAGAATCTAAGGACCGAGCTCTATGGAAGACGAAGAAGTGAGAAATAATAAGAAAATAGGGAGTGAAAAAAGAAAAAGTAAAACGATTTTTTTTTATATTTAAAAAAGTTAGACCAGGAAATTGACCCCACCTTATCTTATCTTAGCCATGTGTCATAAATAGTAGCTCTATATAAGCTTTTAGAAAGCTTCGCTACATTCTCTTTACGGGGTGACAATTTCTGACACTACCCGCTAACCCGACCCGGACTCGACACGAAATTTTTGTATTTAGATCAACTCGTTTACTGTTCGGGTCGTGTTTGGGTTGAAGAAAAATGACACGAAAAAATTCGTGTCGGGTTCGGGTTAACCCGTTAACCCACTCTGACTCGCAAATAATTTTTGTATAAGGTTATTATAGTCATTTTAGTGAGTGGTATAAAAAAAACTTAGGGTTTCAAATAACCCTTTTCACTCAGCAGTGACTTTATTTGATGTATATGCTTTATTGGATGTAAAATCAGTGCCTAAATACAGGTTTTGAATGTGAGCATTCTAAAACTCGTGTCAGATCGAGTCAGGTCGTGTTAACATGTGTAATAAAGATCATGGTTACATTATAAAGTTATTCGTGTCGTGTCAACTCGTAAAATAAGCGGGTTGTGTTCGGGTTGAGATTTTTCGTGTCGTGTAAAATTCGGGTAGGGTCGTGTTGGGTCGGGTTGACACAAATTGCCACCTCTACTCTCTACTGTAGTTGCTATGATGCACTGATATGAGACACGACACGATACGATAGGCCGGCACGTTAATTCTAAAAAATGTCATATTTCAACACGTTGGGACACGTTTTGATATTAAATAAAAATTTTAATATATAATATAATTTACATTTTGTACATATAAGAGTCCATAATAAGTCATATAATCAATCAAATATTTAAATTTCATAACATAAATATAAGTAATTTTTTGTATTTTGTTAATTTTTAATGTCAAATTTCATAACAGAAAAAAATTAATTTATAAATTATTTCTTTTCTATTTAGTTAACAAAATAAAATTAAGTTTTTTAAAATAAAAAATAAAAATGTGTCCGAGCGTGTCCCCAAATGTTGACCGTGTGTCCCCAAATATTGACCGCGTGTCGGAACGTGTCGGAGAGTTGACTGCGTGTCCCCAAATGTTGACTGCGTGTTGAAAGCGTGTCCGAGCGTGTCCGTGCATATAAGGTAGTTGCGGTGTAATTTGATGCGGCGTTCCCTAAAACTGTCACAATTTGTGTATTTTTTTTTTTGGAGGTTTCAATGACCTTCAATAAATAACCTTCACAAAAGGTATGTTTTTTGTAGTGAGTCTTTGAAATTTCTCTCTTTCGAATGTCGATTCGATTCGCTCATCTAACCCTTTACTGGAAGTCTGTTAGGAGCTGCTCCTTTTTTATGCCCTTTCGCACCGGCAATCACTCCCCGCCCTTATCAGCACCCAAGATATTACACAAATTAGAGATATGTTATTTTAAAACCATAGAGAATTTGTGATTTTTATATTTAAACTTAGTTCCAATTAAATTGTCACACCTTTATGTTATACCTGATTCTCGGCAGACTAGAGTATATAATCATTTATACAGCTGCATTGTTACATTTTTACCAGTTTAAAAGAAATATAAGTAATAAAAAAATGACTAGTTTAAGAACCACGGAAGTTCTTAATATGTAAAGAATCACTTCAACGCAAAATTTTAAAACATTGAATGAAGAATTTTTTAATAATTTATATTAGTCTCTAATATTGGTTCTCAATTCCCAAAACTTAGTTAAGTGTGTAGCTATTGTCTTTTGTATGCGGCACATATATTGAACAAGTGTAAGACCCTGTTTTCCATAGTAATTGGCATCAGATTCAAGTGACAGTTGTAAACTAGTATACTGAAGTTAATCAATAGAACATAAAAAGAATAGCTATTTAAAGGGTGTAGATGGTTTATTCTAACATGATCTGTGATTGAGATATATAAAATCATTAATGTAGCCTCACCCAATAGCTTAAGCTTTTGGGTTGAATTGGTTCTTTACATGGTATCAAGAGCCTCGGTGTACCGAGTTCGATCTTCATCGCCCCCCACTTTCTTTCTAGTAGAATTTCTTTCTTCGCACATGTAGGTGGGCCTGTGCATCGTCCGCCCTTCAAGTCCAGTGGGCTCTCGTACGAGAGGACGTGTTGAGATATATAAAAATCACTAATATAGTCTCACCCAACAATTTAAACTTTTGGGTGAATTGTTTCTTTACACTCAGATTAGAACCTTAAAAGAACCAGTTTTTTATACTTAAGGCAACCAGTGAAAATATGTCCACACTTTCACCTTCCTCGTAATGTTCTCAAGTCTGACATCCTTTCATTATGGAAGTTTCTTTCTCTTATTATGTTCACTTTCCATTTATACAAATATTAAAACACAGAAACAACAAAAATCCATTAGATTCAGTATTATAGAGGTTAAACAGCTTTACAGATTATCCATTCCAAAAGGAAACTGACTCATGTTCACGGGCATGGCTTAAAATACAAACAAAATCCTCCTAACTTGATGTCTCATAGACCCGACGTTCAGATTAACAAGGATGAAGAAGAACAAAAAGAAATTATAGACTCAAAATAGCAAGAACAAAACTAAAGACAGAAATGAAAAAAATGAAAATGGAGAAGATGGTTGCTTTGTTGCTCGTATGGAGGCTTTGGGGAAAAAGAGAAGACACACGGGTGTTGTTCCAGAAAAAGTTCTCTATTGTCTTCATCTGATCCTCTACTTATACGGTAGGGAAGGTATTGGCAATCTTGTAGATACTGCTTCTCGTTCCTTCCTTTGTCGGATAAGAAGACGTCTTTTCTTCTTTGGATCTGATGAAGGACAATGGTTTGAGGTGATGACAATGGTTGAGCTATCCTTCTTGCTTTTCTCTCTCCTTTAATCGATTCTTATTTTTTGACATATTCAGAAATATTCATCCCTCTTTTGCACCATGTTGTCATAATTGCCTTTTTAGTGGGTATCTTTTTTGTGGTACCTTGCAAAAAAGCAAAAAAACAAAAGTGAGCAGAATCAAAAAGTAAAGTAAAGACAGCTCACATTCTCTTTTCTCTCTCTTTTCTCACTTTTTCCCACTTACGGTTATTTATTTACAAAAGTTAACAATTGTTGCATTTATACTAATATTTATATTGTTAAAGTACTAATGGGGACGTAATGATTGGCGTTCCACAGCATGAACACTTCTGATGAGAACGAAATTTCGTCCCATCACCTAGCAACGGGACAAAAACTTGTGTCTGACAAGCCGATAGCTAGTCTTTGATGTTGCGACATGTGGCAAATTCTTACTGCCTGATAGCGGGTTTTGGTCCATGGCATTTTTGGGAAAATGATATTATGGTCGCTTTTCCTATTGTATATCTGAAGATATCTTTTATTTTCTTATTAAAATTATAAGTAATGTTATACTTTTTATTTTTATATATTTTTGTCCGGGCAAGATCTTCTCACTCGAAGTAAGAATAATAAATTTTACACTTAATATTAACCGTTGATTTTCATACATCTGACGGTTGTAATTTTTTTAGAATTAATAATTAATTACTATGAATAACTCAATCAAATAGTCGTTCGATAAATGGAAATCAATAATTAAAATTAAGTGTAAAATTTATTATTTTTATATCAAACTACAAGTGTAATTTGATCTGGTACCTTTTTATTTTTTAATAAGTGCCTGATTGGCATATCTTATTTTAACCTTCTCTTCTCCTTAAAAACAAAAGTTTAGCCAAATATATTTTTATAGGACCTCTTAATATAAAAAGTTTATTTTTATAATGAATAAAAAAACTAAAATCTAAATTCTCTTCGTAGGATTTTTTTTTTTTTTAAGATGTATGTCAGCTTTTAAAAGTCCTCATATTTATTTTATAATTTTTTTAAATTTAACTTAAAAAAATAATGTCAAACAACTTTTTTATATATATATATATATATATATATAACATGTCACCAAGAAGCAGGCCACAGTGCCACACCGCTTTGAGTTAAGGGATAATAATTTCTCGATATTTTTGAAGTATTTATATTTAAAAATGAGATAGGTTGTTCGATCTATTTTTTTTATACTTACTTTATTTATTGTTCTCTAATACCATTAAATTATAATATTAAGAGAAAATAAATGATAAATATTAATTGAAATTATGATATAATAAAATTAAAAAATAATAAATAAGATAAGTATGATAAAAGCTTATAAGAAATTAACTTCTGATTGATTCGTTTGACAAATCGAAAAGCTATGAAATTGTAGTGCGTGCGCTGACCAAAATCCGCAGCAGCCCTCAGTGTATTGTATTGTTCTGATTTTTCTACCTTCTCCGACAAATTGGAAAACAAATCGCCAGCACACAAGTAAATAATTATAAATAAGTTGTTAATCTATTGTGACGGTTAAATAGTACCGATCCACCTGACAGCGAAACAACTATATAATTATGAGTTCAACGCCAGCCTATATAGACTAGAAATTTATTTCGGTTGATTGTGATTACGGTTGGTCCCTTAATTTATACTTTATTTATTTAACTTATTTTATTGAAAATTTAAAATTAATTATTTTAAAATTATATGATTTTTTATAATTAACAGAATATGTTATTTAATTATAATTAAAAATGAAGAAAGGAGGTAATAGACACTACAGTGTACAAAGACCTCAACTTTCTGAAATCATCGTTCTAGTGTTTAGTATCATAAATAGAACTTCTGAGCATGTACCATGCTCGTAAGAGTGTCACATTTCAAAAGCACTTACATAAACTGTCTCAGAAGGGAGCCTCTAGTGATTCATACCAGACTTTTCCATTAGAGGCATCTTCTACGTCTTCTTCCATTGAAAGTCTAATATATTCTGTATGAGCAAATCGATCCCACTCTGTCAATATGTTGGATTCTCACGTTCCTATTCACATCAAACATGCGTACCAATTACCAGAGATGTCACCAACAGGAGCCAAACATACTAACTGAACAATGCAATAATTTTTATCAAATATTTCAGGCACCTGACAAATCAAAAACAGGTCACGATTTTCAAAGGCCATGAACTTATTTAGATTGAAAAGGATATTGAAAACACTTCCTGAGAGTTTACCACCTTTCAGGTCACGTACAGTTATGAAGCTCTCATTCTGCAAAGCGAAAATTTTTAAAAATATAAAATGACAGATAATAAATCAGTAACAACATGATTTTCAGCCAAAGATACAGAGGATAAGAAAAGGGGGGGTTAGGGGGTTGAATAAAATAAGTTTGGGATATAAGATGTTACAGGAGAAAACACAATTTATAAACAGCTTGCTAGATATGTACTCATTTTCCAGGTAATATAACATCACAACAACATGATGAAAGAAGATCAAACAATCAGTAAAAGAAAGATGGAAAGGCAAACCTCAGGTTTAATCATGTCAATTATCTGGCACAATATATCCTCAAAAAGCACAGGCTCTTGGGCCATGCGCACTCCATCCGATGCAACTGCTCCTCATACAAAAATTGTAGTTCATTCCTAGTCAGAACTCCATTTCCATCCAAATCTATGCACTTGAACCTAATTGTGAAATGTTCAAGTCAGCTCATACATTGATGATTTAAAAAATCAGAAACAAGTAATCCACAAGGTCAAATATCAAACAATAATCACTCTTTGGTGCTTGGTACAAAATATGGAAATAAGTATTCCAACTTAACAAAAAAAGAACACTGAAAGGTGTATCTCATAATCAATTTTCCTTCATTTCTTCCACACAATGCTGCCCAAATTTTCAATCAGTCCAGTTTCCACGGTCCTATTTTTTTATGTACCAAGCATCCAGTAGTAAATCTCTCTAGTAATTCTAAGAGCAGTTATTGACAGTACACTTAATCAGCGTAGGACACTTACACAAAACTCACAATAACATAACAATGCTCTCAAGGAGACGGGTAAATTAGCACAAGGAACTGGGTCAATATTGTTTCCCTCTAAACTGTTCTCTATTGCAATGTCTTAAATTATTTACACAACGTATGAAAGCCACATTTCTAATAGCTTAATAAAGTATTTGTGGATTTAGACAAAGAATCAAAACTTAGCTTTGCAACATGGATACGGGGTGAGTGACAAACCCGAACTGCAACAACCACCGTTTCCAAATACTCATCCCAACCAAATTTATCAAGTTGGCCTAGCCAAATCATTGACTTTGATACCTCTGCTATATGGCAAGGGGGAGCCTCATGGTGGGGAGATGATCATTAATGGATTAAGCAACAATCCTTCATAACTAATGGGTTTGACACATGTCAAATTTCAAATTTTAATCTTAAGACATTGAGTTCATGAATTATTTCACTTATATAGTCTCGATTACTTAGTTTATTCCTAACAAATATGAGATTTCACCACTAACAAGTGTGAGTTCCAAGACCAACATCTTCTCCGCCTCAAACAAAAACTTGTTTGAGTATTTATGGGGTAACACTATGAATCAACACTTGACTTATCAACATAGGTTTGGAAAGATTAACAAAACCGAATTGCACCAACTATCATCTCCACGTACTTAACCTAGCCAAACTCATGATTGGCCCAATCAAACTCAGATCTAATACCATTGTTATGCACACAAGGGGAGTTTATGGTGGGGAGATCATCATCAATAAGCTAAACTATAATATACCACAATAAGTGGGTTCAACAACACGTCTCAACCAAAAATTTTAAAGATTTGAGTTCATAGGTCCCACCACTTATACGACCCTTACTTATTCCATATTTAATCAATGTGAGACTTCACCAGTTACACTTAATTCCCGAACATTCTTGCATCCTTTGTGCAATTGTCGATTGACTCTATTAGTATAAGAGCCGGGGCCTATATATGGAATTGATGACATAGATGTTAGAGATCGAATTTAAACTTTGCTACATCATCTTTGTTTAACCGTCATACTAGAAGAATGGAGAACTCAGCAATTGTCCAAACAATTGTCCACCGCCAATCTAGAATAATGTTGAAGTGTGTATTAGTTGTTAATCAAATGGATAAGGAAGTAGGAACCAAAGTTGCAAACGTCGGTTGAGTCGGTTAAATTAAAAATAATATATGTAACACTAGTCGGTAGAAGTAGCCTTTATATATAGTTGTGTTTAAGAGGTATTAGTAGAATTAGTGAAAAAAAAGGAAAGAAAGAAAAGCATAGTACCCAAAGTGCCGTAGCACTTAGAAAGGAAAAAAACTGAGTGTGAGATTTGTTCTTGTAATTTTTATTTTTAGCAATTCCAATACAACAGTTTCTTCATCTATTTTTTGTATTTTCTCTAAATTTCCAACAAGTGGTATCAGAGCCACGTTCGATCAAAGATGGCGGGAATGATGCAACCACAGATTCCAAAATTGTCAAAGAGTAATTATGGGAATTGAAGCATTCAGATGAAGACGTTGTTAGGTTCCCAAGATATATTAGACCTTGTTGAGGATGGATACATAGAGCCCGCCAATGCAGCTGCAGAAGCAGTCTTATCAGATGCTCAAAGAAAGATGCTTAAAGATTCACGTAAGAAGGACAAAAAAGCTCTTTTCTTAATTTTTCAAGGTGTTGATGAATCAACCTTTGAGAAAATATCAGATGCAAAATCATCCAAGGAAGCATGGGAGATTTTACAGAAGTCTTGCCAGGGAGTTGACAAAGCTAAAAAGGTACGACTCCAATCACTAAGAGCTGAGTTTGAAAACTTAAAAATGCAGAATGCAGAGCCAGTTACAGATTATTCCACACGAGAGCAAAAGGTGGCGAAAGAGATGAAAAGAAATGGAGATACTTTAGATGATGTCAGAGTAATGGAGAAAATTCTACGGTCACTAACAAGAAAGTTTGATTATATAGTCACTGCCATTGAAGAAGCCAAAGACTTGTCAGTTATATCTATTGACGAGCTTGTGGGTTCTCTTCAAGCTCACGAGCAAAGAATGAATCTTAATGAAGGTTCTAGCAAATTGGAGCAAGCTTTGCAAAACAAGTTATCCCTTGATGTAAATCAAGCCAGTAGCAGTAGCTATGGACGTGGCAGAGGAAATCATGGTGGATATAGAAGAGGTTTCAACACCCGAGATGGATTCAACACTCGAGGCGGTCGTGGCATACGCGGTGGATATAGTCAAACAAATAGAAGATTTCAGACTGATGTTGTAGCAAATGGACATGATCAAGGAAGATATAATAATCGTGGTCAAGATCGTGGTTTCGTGACCCGAGGAGGAGGAAGATTTCAACAAAGAGGTGATAAATCTCACTTGCAGTGTTATAATTGTAACAGATATGGTCATCTCAGCTATGAGTGTAGAGATGCTGCTAAAGTTGCGGAGAGAAGTCATTATACAGCAACTGAAGAGAAAGATGATGAATCGACCATGTTGTTCACTTACAAAGGCGAGGAAGATAGTGGGAAAGATGTTTGGTACCTTGATACTGGAGCTAGTAATCACATGTGTGGCAAAAAGGAGTTATTCACAGAACTGAATGAGGAAGTCCAAGGAGAAGTTACGTTTGGCGATCTATCAAAGATTCCAGTTAAAGGCAAAGGTAAGATTATGATATTCACAAAGAATGGAGATAGAAAATCCATTTCAGATGTCTATTATATACCATCTTTGAAAATCAAACTCCTCAGTCTTGGTCAGCTTTTAGAAAAAGGATATGATATTCATTTGAAGAATAATTCTCTCATTATGAGAAATCATAAAGGAGAATTGATTGGAAAAGTTGATATGACAAGAAATCGTCTATTCAAGCTAAACATCCAGACAAGTGCAATAAAGTGCATGAAGACAATCAAAGAAGATAGTTCGAGGTTATGGCATCTTAGATTTGGTCATCTTGGATTCACTGGCCTGAAGCTGCTATCAAAAGCAAAGATGGTAAATGGATTACCAATGATAAATCAACCTGATCAGCTGCGTGAAGCATGCATGAGAGGAAAGCAACATAGACAAAGCTTTGAAGTTGGCAAATCATGGAGAGCAAAAAGACCACTGCATCTAGTTCACTCAGATATAGCTGGTCCATTTGATATTCCATCTCTTGGAGGAAACAAGTATTATATTACTTTTATTGATGATTTCAGTAGAAAAGCTTGGGTATATATTCTTAAAGAAAAATCAGAAGCTCTTGAAAAGTTCAAAGAATTCAAAGCAATGACAGAAAAACAAAGTGGTCAGTATCTGAAGACACTCAGAATAGATAGAGGGGGTGAATACACTTCCAAATTATTTGAAGAATTTTGTAGGCAACATGGAATAATTCATCAATTGACAGCAGCCTACACACCACAACAGAATGGTATAGCAGAAAGAAAGAATCGTACAATTCTTGATATGACAAGGAGCATGCTCAAAGAAAAGCATCTCCCAAGAACACTCTAGGCTGAAGCTGTCCAATGTGCTGCCTATCTATTAAAACGATGTCCAACAAAGAGTGTCAAGTTCAAAACACCAAATGAAGCATGGAGTGGTAGAAAGCCAGAGGTAAGCTATCTAAGAATTTTTGGTTGTGTAGCATATGTTCATATTCCATATCAGAAGAGAAAGAAGTTAGATGATAAAGGAGAAAAGTGTATCTTTACTGGCTACGAGCATAGGAGTAAAGCTTACAGATTATACAATCCCCTGACAAAAAAGGTAATCATCTCAAGAGATGTGGAGTTTGGCGAAACAGATTACTAGAAATGGAATGATGAAGAAAAAAGAGTAGAAGGCTTATTCTTTAAAGATGATGATAACTCAACAGAGCAAACAGTTGAAGCAGGCAATGATCAGACACCTCCACCAAGTCCTAATCCAACAACTCCTGCATCTACACCCTCAACCTCAGGAAGCAGTAGCAGTAGCAACAATTCAGGGGGAGCAGCAGCGAAGATGAGAAGCTTAAGTGATATCTATGACGCTACAGATCCGGTACAAACTACCCTTGATTACTCATTATTTTGTTTAATAGCTGAATGTGATCCAGTGACATATGAGGAAGCTGTAGAAAATGAAAAGTGGAAGAAAGCAATGAATGATGAAATTGATGCAAGAAATAACACGTGGGAGCTTACAACTACGCCTAAGAAACATAAGCCCATCGGAGTAAAGTAGGTGTACAAGACAAAGACTAATCAAGAAGGAAAAGTGGAGAAATACAAGGCAAGTTTGGTAGCTAAAGGCTACAAGCAGAAATATGGAATAGATTATGATGAGGTGTTCGCACCAGTTGTAAGGATTGACACTATCAGGCTTCTTACAGCAGTTGCAACACAAAAACAATGGAAGATATGCCAGATGGATGTGAAATCAGCCTTCCTCAATGGTTACCTAGAAGAATAAGTCTATATTGAGCAACCACCAGGTTATGTTAAAAAAGGAGAAGAAGATAAAGTCTACCGGTTGAAGAAGGCACTATATGGATTGAAGCAAGCTCCAAGAGCTTGGAACACGAGGATAGATGAATACTTTCATAAGAATGGATTTGTGAAGAGTCTGTATGAACATGCTTTGTACACGAAGAAAAATGAAGATGGGGATATGATGATCGTGTGTCTTTATGTGGATGATATAATCTTCACAGGGAATAATCCAGGTATGTTTGTTGAATTTAAGAAAGCTATGACTAAAGAATTTGAAATGACAGATATTGGAGAAATGTCCTATTTTCTTGGAGTTGAAGTAAAACAAACGGAAAAAGGAATTTATATGTTACAAAAGAAGTATGCAGAAGAAATACTGAGTAGGTTCAGAATGAAAGATTGCAAGCCTATTTCAACACCAATAGAAGCAGGAACGAAGTTGAAAGCTGACTCAGATAGAGAACCAGTAAACCCAACACTATTCAAAAGCCTGGTCGGAAGCTTGAGGTATTTGACTTTCACTCGACCATATATCATGTTTGCAGTTGGTCTAATAAGCAGGTATATGGAGCATCCAAAGCAGGATCATTTCAGTGCAGTAAAGAGAATTTTAAGATATATCAAAGGAACCATGAGTCATGGATTATTCTATACACATTCCCAAGATTCAAGGTTAATTGGCTATGCAGATAGTGATTATAGTGGAGATGTAGATGATCGAAAAAGCACTTCAGGATATGCTTTTCATATTGGCTCAGCAATATTTTCATGGTCATCAAAGAAATAACAGACAGTTGCTCTATCATCATGCGAAGCTGAATAGATAGCTGCAGCAGCGTGCACGTGTCAAGCGATTTGGTTAGAGAATATTTTGAATGAATTTCATTATGAGCAAGAAGGTCCAATTACTATATATGTAGATAACAAGTCTGCTATATCACTTGCAAAGAATCCAGTCTCCCATAGTCGAAGAAAGCATATTGACACGAAATATCATTTTATTCGGGAGCAAGTTAAAAACAAAGTTGTGGAATTAGTCTACTGCAGAACTGAAGAACAATTGGCAGATATTTTTACGAAGCCATTGAAGACAGATGTGTTCAACAAACTCAAAAATATGATTGGCATGCAAAGTCAAATTTGAGGGGGAGTGTTAGAGATCGAATTTAAACTTTGCTACATCATCTTTGTTTAACCGTCATACTAGAAGAATGGAGAATTCAGCAATTGTCCAAACAATTGTCCACCGCCAATCTAGAATAATGTTGAAGTGTGTATTAGCTGTTAATCAAATGGATAAGGAAGTAGGAACCAAAGTTGCAAACGTCGGTTGAGTCGGTTAAATTAAAAATAATATAGTAACACTAGTCGGTAGAAGTAGCCTTTATATATAGTTGTGTTTAAGAGGTATTAGTAGAATTAGTGAAAAAAAAGGAAAGAAAGAAAAGCACAGTACCCAAAGTGCCGTAGCACTTAGAAAGGAAAAAAACTGAGTGTGAGATTTGTTCTTGTAATTTTTTATTTTAGCAATTCCAATACAACAGTTTCTTCATCTATTTTTTGTATTTTCTCTAAATTTCCAACAATAGAACTCCCTAACCCAATATCTCTTGGATCTAGTCAAAAATGGTTTCTCCTTCAATCAAATGCGGCAACACATTGAGCAAATACAGCGAGGAGGGGAGAGGGAGAGCTACCCCAAATGAAGGGCACCCTCGCAGTTCGCTAGCTCTCTTGTTGCCATGCAACAATAGTACTAGCAACAATGGTCTATATATGAGAACTCTGCATGCATCACATCGTAATTATGAGGAGGTCGAGTAGATAATTCAGATAAGAATATTATACATTCAAATAATTCATATTTTTTTACTATATCTATTATATTTATTTGCCATTGGTCGGATTTTATAAACTTTGTAGTATGATGTAAGATCAATTTAAATTCTTTAACGATTATTTTGAAATTATTTTTTCATATGATTGTATATAGAACGACTTAAATTTTTTGGAAACCATGATTTCTTGTTTTTGAAAAGAAAAAAAATACTGCTTTATACTTAAAAGTGCTTTTTAAAAATTGATCCAAACACAAAATAACTCTGGCTTTTGATTTTTTTTTTTTAATAAATGTATTAAAAGTATTTTAAAAACAAAAATTCATCCAGGTGGGTCTTTTTTCAAATTATCGACATTTTTTGGTCATTAGTTATAACAAAATTTCTTGAGTGATCAGTCTATAGCTATTATTACAAAATTTAGAATATACCCGTACTTGTAAAGAGAGATTACCCTTGTCTATATAAAAAAAAAGATTACCCTTACGGTGTGTTTGGTATAAGAGAAATTTTTTGGTATCCGAAAATCACGATTACTGAAAATACACTAGAAATTGAGTTTACTCGGAATATTACGAAAAAGGTATTTGGTTCGCCAAAATATTACCGGGAATATTGGGTAAAGATTACTGATTCCATATTTGGTTTAGAATGAAATATGACTTGGAATATGAGATCATTTTACAAAAATAACCCCAAACTATTTTTACATTTGTAATTGATAGATTGGGACTAGGTTTTGATGTGTGTTGTAACATCCCCGTCTCGAGCCGGTTCAATTAACATGCATATGATATAAACAGAAACAGCAGAAGACTTAACTTGCGAAAATACGAGCTAACTTTTTTCTTTTTTTCTTTTTAAATTCTCATTCGACGTAAACGAAAATCGGACAGAGTTTCCTCTATAAATCGGACAACTGAGGATTTTCCAATCCCACTCTTAAGCATTTCCTGATAAATAGTTTATACAACACATCAATCCAGATCTACCAGTCACGCAAATATAATCAGATACCCATCCATGGGCGCATGCATAACTTGGCTCAGTGTCGCTAATCTAACTGCATGCAATCCAATACATAAACATAACTGAATACTACGTCATCATATAACGTGCCTGAATACTCAAATGTACATGCATCAAACTGACAGACATGTACAAAACATATACAGACCATATACAAAATAAAGGATATAACATCATGATCCACAAAATACTGAAATACTAAAGGAAAACACTATACTCCAAAATAGAAGTAGCCTACAGCTACTCAAAATCCAATCCGTCCAAAATCCTCAGCCACGGGTCGCGTCCCTAACTAGAGAGGTCTCCCCGGGAATCTGGGCACCTGAAAATATGGCCCCAACGAGGGGTGAGATTACAAATCTCAATAAGCTCCAGGTTTATAGAGAATTCTCCATACCCCTGGCTCATTCCTGCATGAAAGTCAGATACAGAGTATACCAATACAACATATAGCAAATATCATAACAGAACAGAGTATATATCCATATCATATCGGAGGTGTGTGTCGTCATTCCCAAGGGAGGACCCCAAGCGGAAATCAACGCACGTGTTCCCAAGGGAGGACCCCAAGCGGAACCAGCAGAGGCGTGCGCCTTCATTCCCAATGGAGGACCCCAAGCAGAAATCAACGCACGTGTTCCCAAGGGAGGACCCCAAGCGGAACTAGAACATGTCAGAGGTGTACATCGTCAATCCCAGGGAAGCCCCAATAAGACATCAGTGTACCATATATCAATACAGAAATCATATCAGAGCAAATCATTTCATGTTATCAAATAACTCTATATGAATGCATCTATACAAAGTATCATATCAACAGTCATACATTCCAACCACAGTCCACTAACTATGGTGGAGCACTCGAGCATGAAAAGACTCCTTAAACATAGAGCTTACCTCTTGAAGCTTTAACAATCAGCTTACTTGTGGCTCAAGTTACTTATATATCTTCAAGAGATTCTGATTCCTTTTTAGTCCCTAGGTACACCTAGAGCAAGAATCCACAAATACAAATTAATAAAATGCCATCATGCCTAGCTTTCATATAAGGCATACATTTTATCGCTTCTTTTCGTTTCTTTACGTTTTTGCCAATGCTATGCCAATACACAAGTCTAGACCACCTTATACTCGTTAGGATTCTTTAATTTAATCAAGTGTTCACTTGAGAATTTTCAACATAATTCATGCCATTTTCTTTAAAAGGCCGTGAACCTACCCTTAGGAACTCAAGGTATTTTTCAACCCTTTTTCAAGCCATTTCACTTCTTAACTCATCAATTTTATACAATAAATTACAACACATTTCATTAAAATGAAATGTAACAAAATATATCCCTAAGCCACCCTATAGGTCGAACTCCACAAGGACAATAGGAAAAAGGGTTCTTTTCTTTTTAATTATTCTTTCTTCACTTAGTTAGCAACTTAAACATTTATATATGTATCCAAAGGTTCCAATACAATTTTGGAACACCAAGTCCCTTACAACCCTCATGGCCGAAGTGTAGGGATCAAAATACATAGGATTTTCCGCTTAGGCCTTTTTTCTAAATTCCTTCTTACTCCCACACAATAGACCCTCTCACTACATCACATAAAACTTTGCACAATAAACCCTATTAACCCTATCAAGGCCGAAACATAGAGGAGGGCATAGGATTTTTTTCTAATTTTTCTACATTCATATAAACACTTATTTTCATTTCCTAAATCCAAAACATCAAGGATTCATTATCAAATCAAAGTTTAAACTAATTTATTTCTCACTCAAAAGATGCTCATAAATTTCAAGACATAAATCACAAAATAAAAGCATAAGATTAGAGGTTTATTACCTCCAAAAGCTTATACAAGGTCAAGGAGGTAACCTCCAAGCAAGTCT